TGATCGAATATTTACCCAATGTAAATTTTTTAATTAATATACAGCGGTTGTATATTTAGCGGTTATTATAATGATAGACATTTGTTATTAATTATTATATTGATTTATAGTATCAAATCAATGATCTAATACAATGGATATTACAACCTGGGCCAAATTTGAATATTTAATGCGACCCTAGTGTTAAATTAACTTATTTTGCTAATAAAATTATTTGTGCACACTTAACAAAATAAAAATTTAATATTTATAACTAATAATGTATTAGATGATAATTTTAATGTAAAATTACAATTACTTATAAAGTTAGGTAAAAACTTTATATAATTTTCAATAGTCTCATCGGCGCCGACAGCCAGAGTGAGGGCCAGACCGAAGGGCCGGTCATAGGGCTGTCCACTCGTATTGTATGAAAGGTAATGCCTGTCATCGAGAAACCAATGGACACCCGATTCGCTCCACTCTATAGTATAGCTGTGAAAGTCTTGCAGTGTTTTGTTTGTCTGATAATACCATTCCTCCACATCTGCCGATCAATCGGTGACCAAAGCGTTGATTACCACACCTTTTGATCTGATCGTTGCTAACAATGTCTATCTGACCGCCGGTGCCGTTGCGCTCAGTTAGCGATATCACTGGTCGTAAGAGTTTGCCGGCGGGCAGAGCGGCCCTCAAATCAAACACATCGTAAGTCCAGTCATGTGTCGACACAACCGATGCCGATGTGTAGTCAGTGGCCGAGGGGTCGGTGCGGTACCGATCATTGTCGGTGTCCGGTGTCTCGCGTACGGCCGTAATGGCCAGACAGCTCTCCCGGAGCTGTAGATTTTTCAACGAGTTTGAGTCGCAGTGTAGTTGGTATTGAGGTTTGTCTTAATTTATGGTAATTTTATAGTGAGATTAGTGGTAGGGTTGTAGTGATTAGGTTTTGATATGACATACCCTCACACCTCCCGTCCCGCCATTTGTCGGCGATTTCCCACTTATTATTGTCCACTGAATTGCCGTTGAATTCATCACTCCATACGAGTTGCAAATGTTTGCCACAATTCACTGCATTTATAATCATTATATAAATTGTGGTCATTTTAAAGCACTTCATTATATTGTGATTTAAATAATTTATTTCATTATAAATTAAATGCGTTACTACATTTATTTATTTAGCACTCTTAATAAATGGATATAAAGTATGTTATAAATGTATTAATTTATATTAAATTTAATCATTTAATGTTAAGAAATATAACGGCATTAAAAAGTGATAATATTATTAATATAAATATTTTAAAAACAATTTTTTCTTATTTTGCGATAAGAGATATGACATTAAAAAATGCCGAAAATAATATTTAATTTATAAATAAACTCATTATAAATAAATATTAACTTAAAATACCAAAACACTATTAAATTCTCAAATAAGATACGAGGTAAATATTTTAAATTATAAATTATTTTCTAATAAATTCTGAAAATATTAAAACGTAAAATTGATGTTTTTGTAATTTCAAAAATACTAAAAATACTATGTTTAGAAAATTGTCTATAATCTCAAATATTGTATTATAGTTATTAAACCTTGATAATTGCTCTTTTAATAAAGGTAACACTAAATTAATTTTGAAATTGGTCATAATGATTTTGTTATTAATAACATATCTCTCATTTACATAAAGCCTAAACACGTGGTATTATAAGTGATAATAAACAGGAAGTTATTAAAGAAAGTGATAACGTGTTGTGAAACTGGTTTGAATTGGTTTTGATAATTTAGATAAATGTTAGAGAAAACATGTGCTAAAACATGCATTAGATTTTAATTTAGTACTTGTTTTATATTTGATTTGTATTGAAATCGTTAACATTCTATTTGCTGTAATAAAAATGTGTTTACAATTAATGAGTGTTTCGTTGATTGAAATGAAGAGTAAATTCAATGCAATGAAGAGTTTGTGTGAAATAATAGACAAAATTCAGTGTATTTTGAATACAAATAATAGTGTTTTGTGTGAAGCGATTGAATGCGAAAATAATGATTATTTTTCAATCAATCAAACAATTGATTGCAATTCATGTAAAATCAGTGATAAAATGCTAAACAATTGTCATATCATTACTAAATCTGATGATTATTTTC